TTCATTAATATACTTATCCTTTAAGAATGTTGCATTTGTACTAACAAAGACATTCCTATCTAGAGGACTATAAAAATAATATCTCTTGGTATCTTTAAGGTATCCCACAAACGGGCATATCTTTATTTAGACTCCAACTTTTTGATCTTTCTTTCTAGCACACGAGTCAAACCCCAAATTTTGGATGTCACGCAAGCTAGACTTGAATCCATACCACAATTTCAAGTCAGTCAAAAGAATAGATTTAGAAAGAACTATGTTAAGAATGTATGCAAATGTCTCTAGTGTATATACCAAAATGAGATAAGTAGATTTGTGAAACTTATCATTGACTTAACCATATCAAAAAATGTCTCATTTCTTCTTTCTAAAATGTCATTCTGTTGGGACGTGCCAAGCGCATTCAATTGAAAAATAATGCTATTTTCTGTCAAATAATCCCTAAATTCTCTTGAAAGATATTCACCACTTTAAATAGATTGATGCAACTTAATAATCTTACCCCAATTGTTTCTCGACCCAAGTATGATAATCATTTGATTTATCCAATGCATCATAGCTATGTATCACTAGTATGGGACGACTTTCTTTTATAGTTTGCAGAAGTAACTTTTATTTTATATGTGAAATATTTTAAAATATAAAGACCATTCATCAAATGTCCAAAACAAACGAGAACTTTATTCATCAAAATTTAAAGTGCATCAGAAGCCAATTTTATAGAATAACCTTGTTTTATTAAATCAAAAACAAAAATGAAATTTTTGTTTGATTCCAGGATATAATAATAGGCTCTAAAATAAAACACCTACCACTACTGAAATAAAAAACGAAATACTCATATGCTTTTATCAAAACTATTTCTCTTGATTTTAAATTGGCCTTCATTGAGTTTTTTACTCTCTTGAAACATCCTCACCAATATGCAGACATGATTAGTAGTTTCAAAAGCTACAATTTAGGACATTGTAGTATCAACCACTAATCAATACTCAGTAACAAAAAATCTCACCCACACTTTGCTCTCTAGCTATTGTATTTGAGTAGTCTTTCTTTAGTATCCTTTTCAACCTCGATTGAAACAATTACCTCTCAGGTTTCCATCTGCTTTGGACCTGTAGTTGCTCTCATACTTCTTTTTACCTTTTTCATCTTCTTTTCACATGTCTTTCGTCTTAGAACTAGAGGAGCCATCAAATGATGCACGAGAATCGCCATTGTACCTTAAGACCACATGTAACATTATAACTTTATCATCAGCTCAGTTAATAGTATCTTAATCTTCTGCAAGTAATAGCTCACGGTAAACTGTGAAAACTATCAGGTGAAAATTCATTACCATGTTAAACTAAGTCTCCTTGATAGATGGTTACATCATAACTCTCAACCATGTTTGAAGTTTCAATCATAGTCAAATTATGAAATTTCACAGGTACTCTAGATTTAATGCGGATGTTCTATAAAGTTCATTCCTTCAAAAAAGCTTTCCTGCTGAAATAACAAAACATGTCTTGAAGGGTCTATAATATGTCATAAAAGGTTTTCTGACTTTCAAGCTTTATTGCAACATGTTTGATATTGAAGTCAAAATGTTATTTGTAATCACTCACTTATTATACACAGTCTTTTTAGACTTGTTACATGGTTTTAGTTTGAGCAACGAACTTTAGCATATGATGCATGAATGTATATGTAAATCTATTGAATTACAATAATACAACGACTATGTGATCTTTGTGATCCAGTAGGCCCTATATAGAAAAGATAATTGTTTCCACTAATTAAGCTGGGACCCTCACACTAGACAAATCATATCTAACAACAAACTTCTATACTGGTATCATTTCATTTGGTCACCAAAATCAATAACGAGAGCATTTATAGGAGGTTTACAAATAATCTCGATTTGAGTATATAACTTGTATTCACAAATAATCTCGATTTGAGTATATAACTTGTATCAATCTTTCAATACTAGGAAATAATTTCGCCTTCTATATAATGATCACAATTTATATTGTATCTAGACGATTTTATCATAAAGAAATCCAATCAACTACAGGACCCTCCTATAGAGAAGTCTGTTGCATTATCGACACAACAAAAACGTGCTATTTTGCTTATGAATTGATTAAAGGAAATCAGGAGTTTTTTTTATTTAAATAAACATCCTCTCACAAAATATTTTTAAGTAATAAATTTTAATTTTAAATAATTACCGTCTCATCTTCAAAGCTTTAATACGATTTACAAGATTCAACAATTACATGAATTGAAAATTCACATGAACCAATGTCCTGTAAGCTCACAATTTTAAATTTAAAATAAATAAATAATGGAGTTGTACGAAATAACGAATTACATCAAAAAAACTAGCCAAAACATTCAATCAAGATTTAAAAATAATAAGCGCGTAAACAATCTAGATTGTTATGATACCAATTGTTGGAAATTAAAAAATAAAATAAAATTCAAGAAACAAGATTGTCTAAATGCTCACGTGTGTGTTATATAAAGAAAAAATGAATCGAATTTTTACCTAAAATTTGATAGTTAATTTTTTAATTGATTTTGAATCACAAACTTCCAACTTTATGGATCACGAACTTTTAGCTTTCAATTCGGCTAAATGCTCCAAACCTTCAAATCTTCTATTGTATACTCCAAAACTAATACAACATCGATGGATGGGCACATTTTTTTAATTAAATCGAGAAACAAGTTCTTGAACTAAGCAATTGAATAAAGTAAGAAAAAAAAATTTCTCTCTCCAAATCTAAACACTACGAAATTATTTGTGTTCTGTAAGATAAAGTTCCATCTAATCTCTATTTATAAAGATAAAATAGTTTCAATCCATATACAAGAATTCTACATTCAAATATGAGTCTTAATTAAAATTCAAATGAGTTTCAATTAAAATCCAAATCGAATTAATTTACATTTAATTACATGTGTAATCATATAACTTCAATTACAATTATAATTACAATTACAATTAAGTGTACAACTTTCATAGCAATTGCAATTGAGTTCAAAATCTTATTGTAATTAAATTAAGTGTATAACTTTCATAGCAATTGCAATTAAACTCAAAACATTTATAATAATTGCAATTAAATTCCAATAAATTATAGAGGTGCCACAGGGACATAATCGAATATATATTATTCAAACTCTAATAATTAGATCTTGTCCAATCAACCCTAGACCATTAAATCTAATTATTAGTCTTTAACTTCTTTTTTTTTTTTTTTTTTTACTAAAGACAAAATACTAAATTCAAGATATATATAAAATCACAGAAGCCAATATATCTGTAATACTTTCCTTTGACCTATCTATGTGTATTTTATTCCCGTCCAAAATTCAATAATTAGGTACGAGCATAAATTACCATTTTGTCCCTCTAATTATTCCCATTGACTTAAGTACCATTTTTTTTCAACGGTCCTATGAACTAATCACAAATGTCGAAATTTAGTCATCGCTAAACATTCAGTTCAAATTGTAATCGATCAATAGAAAATATTTAAATAGTCACTCTATTTATTTTCAAAGCGACGATTCCCTATACAAATTTATATTCCCTACTTCACTCATTCTCAAGCTCTCAACTCATCGAAATATTTGACTAATCAAATTAATTTCACTCAGTCAGTAAAAGATGTGCATAACTCTGTCAAGAAATTTAGATGAAATACAAGAAAGTAAAATTTAATTCTCAACACGATCATGCAATAGAATTAAATTCGAATATGGTCCGTTCAATACACTCCAAATGTGCCACATTTAACTATTTCAATGATAAGGACAAATTGCAATCCGAATAGTGAATCAGTCAATATTATAATCTTCCAGTATAAAGTATCAACCCTTATACATTAATTGTGAAAAAATTATTTATGATCAAAAATAAATTGTATCACACTGTACTTCTTAAAGCAAGGAACCAATTTATATATCGCAAGTGAACATAGGCGCTCTAACTCGTATGCTCAATAATAAGTACAATAAATAAATAAAATCAAAATTTATTTATTATAAAATATTATTTTGTCACAGCAGAATATATTATTTGGGTATACAACCCAACGGATCTAACTATTTATTATAGGATGATGCCTCCCCGGGTCCCTTTGAGAGAAATAGTAGATTTGACTCTTTAAATAATTCAAAACTTGTTCAGCTAACATTTTAAAAATTAGCGAAAAAATGACTAGCAATTTTATGCAGAAAGCACGGGTGAGAGCTAGCTACCATGTAATGCAACAAGGAACAACTGCTGGTCCTCCCACCCTAAAACCCTTACCCTTACATTTTGCTTAACAGCAAATTTTCTTTTAAACCCTTAGTTTATATGTGTGTATTTTCTGCTACTATAAAGCTATAACCACTGCATCTGACCAAAATTATTTTGGGGATTACATGGTCAGGTCAGGTCAGTTTCTAGGTAAATTTAAGCCATACAGAGCAAGAAAGTTCAAGCAAGTTTAGTACACAGTACACGACTATGTAATGGATAAAATTTTAGCTTGTATTTCTTTCTTAAGATAGTTCAATTCTATATAATCCACCTTATGAAATAAACCAAAAGAGCTTGGACGAGGAAGATAGTTGATTCTATGGGGTCAATTGAGTGCTATCAACTACAGATTGGCTGCAATGGAAACCATTCAGGTTGAAAGTCATAGTGCCAAAGTCTAAATCAATGAACCTGATACCCACCACAAGCCAAGCAGTTAGGAAGAAGTGTTAGGAATGAGAGTTGACTTGTGTGTCTCGCAAGAGGCACCTATCTCTTTCAAGATGATTCACGACATGCCAAACCTTGATAAAGGTTCTTCTCTTCTTGAATGATTTTTAGTAGCCAAAAACATTAAGAAAGTCAAAGGACATATTTGACACACGGCATTGAACAATACAATAACCAATTTTCTTCTTCTTTTTTAATATAGTTGTCGTGTATAGTCCAACTTAGCAAACAAGCCTCAAAAGTCTAGAACGAGGATGATTGCTTTAACTCCATTAAGGTAATTTTGATGAAATTTACTCCCATTTTAGTAGCCGTAGTCTTGAAGTGGTTTACATTGAGAAGCGTCATGTACACAAAACCAAACATGTCATCACGCCTAAACATACGTAAATCTTCGTAAAGCAATTTTCTTAACAAAACGAAATAAGATTTTCTGACGTTTTGTTTCTCTATTTCTTAATGTCATTGTCTCTTTCTTTCTCTTCAGCAAGTCCACGATGAAGATCTCTTCATAACGGGCTTCATTTGCTTGTCGACTTCAAGGGAGATCATCCCCAAATGTGAAGGATCTTCCAACATCATTTTTGCCACGAGGTATCCAGCAATAGACCATGTTTGGTACTTTCTCGCTTGTTTACCGATATATCTTCCTAATTTTCCATCATAATATTCAGGCCAACCGTCCTTGAGCAAACGATTCTCTGCAAGATCAATTGCTCGTCTTGCAATTTGTATCCGTCCAGTCTTGATACATGCAGCCGTTAGCAACCATAAAAGCACTGTATTTAAGACAAAGAAAGAATGTCATGTAAGAGAATGTATGAGTTAAGCAAGGAAAAATTAGAGCACGTTGGCTAAGCTCAGTGCAAGTAGAAGTTGCTCTTAAGTAAGTTTTATTGTGTTAATAAAGTAACTTATTTCCAATTTTGCTAATTGCAAAAATTACTTTATGTTAAAACTTATTCACTTGTGAGTAAACTTTTTAAGCTCAGCCAAGCATGCCCTAGGGTACTTCAAAAGCAGAGGGAGTGTATGTAGGGATTGACAACTCTTCATTACAGTTTTTGATACGGAGAAAAAAGATGTTTATCATGTACATACAATACAAGATATTTTTCTGATAGGGATTAAGCCTTAATCACTAGCAGGAGATACTAAAAAAAACACAAAAATCAATATTAGAAGAGAAAATAAGGAGAACCTGGCCAAGATCCGCCATTGTGATAACTCCATCTTGTATTTTTCGGATCACATCCAGTTACAATTCGCCATTCATGACTTTCGATTGCTGGATAACATATTTTCAGAGGCATTTCTCCTACAAGCTCTTCCCATCGTTCTTCAATAAGATCCATAATAGCAGAAGCTTGGTCGGTAGTGGCAAGACAAGATAAAATGGCCACACAATTACCTAAAACAAACCATCTAAAATCCATCCTCGCAGGACTAACATTTCCAATAAAATAACCACCACGCATAGGCATAAAATCAAATACCCATTCGGGAATTGAATTCGGAATAACATTGAACTTATTAACTGCAGTATGGGAATATTCTTCAGTTTTATAGCGATATATGTCATTTAACTGTTGAAAGTCGAGCCAAAAATAACTTCTCATGTGATAACTCAGTGCATGCAAACGCTTAACTATTCTCTCAATAAACTCATTGCCATCTTCGTCATGCTTCAGCAATGCTAAAGCACATCTCAAAGACATAAAGAAGAGTGCTTGAATCTCAATAGGATACCCATATATACCCTGATAAAAGAATTACCATTAGAATACACATGTACATTCTTGTTTAGAGGACCACATAATATGGCATAATTGAACTCACATCATGTAGAATATACAGAATGGAAAATTAAAATTTAAGATAAACTGATTTTCACTTGGTGCATGTTTGGCAGGTCAGATAGGATTAGGATAGTACTGGATTGTATCAAAAAGCTTAAAATCTTATTCATTATCAAGTCCCATCCAGTACTATATACCAAACATGCACTTAGATTATAAAACAAAACAAGACACTTGAAAAACTTGAATCTCCACAGATTACCCATGCCGCCACGCGTGGATGAAATTTACATTCCAGGATGGACAAGGGCACTATGCTTCTCAGGGGATTTAAAGCATGTCACTGAATTTCACCTAGAGGTTAATAAAGTTATCTAGCATTTATGGTGAAATTGCTTACCTCATGTACCTCAGATCTTATTGACTTTCTAATATTATCCTTCAACAAATTGTAAACTCTTCCCAGTTTTATAATCAATTAAGTGCCCATATTGTCTGTCAACTCGATCACGATACTGACACTACTCATATCAATATATATGTGCTAGAAAAACAACCGTATGAAACTCAAAAAGCATACTAACCTGCTAAGTCATCATGTTCATTCATAAAAAACAACGCTACCAAGCATCATAAAAAAAACAATCGTGATCATATTGCTCCAAATTCTGTCAGGATTTTATGACCGGTTAGTCCAGAAACTCCGTCATATCTCTAAATGTTTGCTTCTCTAATCTGTTTATCACAATTCTACTTAATATTAAAAGCAGCGTCAAATTATTTGCACAAAGGATGAAGAAAATTGGATAACATTATTTTTTCTACAGTACTCATTTTCAATCACGCATTTTTCATTAAAATAATATTACACATAAATAAAAGACTTTTCATTTTTTTAACCATACATTTCAACATTAATCACTATTTCATAATCCATTTTTTTTAATTAAAGGGGCACAAACAAGCCCTTATTGTAGTTAATGGGATTTTTTTTTTTTTTTTTTTTTTTTTTTTTGTTTATTCTACTCCACCTGGAAATGGGATTTTTTTTTTTTTTTGTTTTTTGGCCCCCATCAAGAGAGCAATTTCACTTTTTCGGTTACTTTAACAATCTCCAGCCCCTATACCTTTTCAGATTCAAAAACTTATTAATTTTCACCAAGAATTATTCAGATTTATTCGAGAGAATCGACCTTTTTCAGCGTTATCATCCATTGATAGAAACATAAGATACTGTCACAAAGACAAAGATGATTCAATATCTCACCATTCTACGATCAATCATTGAGCACCCATCAGCACACAGCAAAGTCGGAAAAGTGTCAAATCCTTCTGATAGACACAGACTCATAATAAGTTTGATTCCCTTTTGGCACTCTGGTTTTTCAGCCAGAGATAAATCTCCAGTAGATTTTGTATATGCACGAAGAAGAATTATCCACCAGAATCCAGAATCAACTGGTGCTACTCTTCCAATTGCACTCTCACCAAAATCTGCAACTACAGAATCAGTCTTGCGAACTGGATCATGAAGAACTTTGAAACTAGCTGGCATAGCACCTTCCCCAAGCTTGAATCTATCTATTTTTTTCTCCCACCCTTGAAGCTGAAGGGTTTTCAATAGGAAATTTTTAACTATATCTGGCTCACCATTCATTAAAAATGCCAGTGCACTCGGTACAAAATCTCGAACAAAAACCTGCCAGCATAAAAAATTTCGAATTTAAGGAAACATATTAGAAGCATGTTAGGCTAAGCTTAAAAATTACTTTTACTAAAAGTGAGGACTTACTTTCTAGAAAGCTAAGTTTGCTAGCAAAAAAGAAGCTAAAGTAAGTTTTACTTCTTTTTTAAGCTTAGCCAAGCATAGTCTAGTTTAACAGAAATATAGATATCAAAATCACTGAAACATCATTTGCTTCTTGGTAGTGGGATTAAACATTCATCTCAATGCCATTTTATTCAATTTCGGAATCAATATCTCATAAATTCACAGGGATTTTTTGCTTTTGTCAAAAATAAGGCCTGTTAATGGTCGGAAGTCAAAATTATGCAATTTTTTATTTTATTACCAGAAGATAACTTTCTCTAATAAAAAAACTTACCTGATCATAATTCAAGACTTCCTCAGAAGCATGGTCATATGCGGCAATTGTGCCAACTGGTTGGCCCCGAAAATGCACTAAGGACCATCGGAGGGCTTCCCAAGCTTCTGCCACAATTGGATGGGGCTCAAAAGAATTCCGAGCAGATGAAGCCGGGGTATCCAACACTGACTGTCCAGGTGAGTATGTGCTCTCGTAATTGTCTAAACCTCTAGTCAATGCAATTGATAACTCACTTAGTGACCTCTCGTCGAATGATCTCTTCCTCTCTATGTTTAATCTCGGCTTATCAAGAAGCTTTGAGAGATCGAAGTCATCCATTTCAGATAGTGAGGCTTGAGAACTCACATTTCGAAGTCCAAAGCCCCTCACACCATCCACATTAACCTTTAAACTCTCCTGTCTATCCATATCACCCTTCCCCTTTCAACCAAAATATCTGTATCGCAAAGAGGGTGGGGGGTGGGGGGAGTATTGATATCAATATTTACCTTCATACTGGAAAAGATAAATATACACATAGGATATCCACAACTAAAATACATAGAGGTATGTGTATGTGTGCATAGTAAGTCCTTGTCAGGCATTATGCAATTTGAAAACACCACGAACTAAAGTTCATATTTTCAAGCCCAGAAATGGAAATAAAATTCAACCTTCATATGCATGAATATGCATTGTACACACCCCTCTGTGAACGAGTAGATGAACTATTTTGCCCTGAATACACTATGATGAAGAAAAAGAAATGGATGATACCCCAATATAACAGATGTTTGTGCCCGCGTGCGAGCACAATTAAATTGTTTAAGAAATGTACTTATCTTACTTCAAAGAAAAGGACGATCACCCACCCTTTTTTCTAGTGGCTTGCCTGCTCTCACTATTGTTAAGTTGCAAATAGTTATTTACAAAAATCTGATTATGAGTTACAAAATCGTAAAATGGGCACATGAGGAACCAACCTAACATCTTTTCAATTAAAATCCCAAAAGGCCATTTATACTACCCTATATTAATTATATTTATAATGCTGTTATTCACAATAAATGATTACAAATGGTAAGAAAAACACAAAATGGAGCAAACTTTTTACAGTGATTAGTTAGAAAGAATGTACTGTCTCCAATTGTTATTTACCTCAAAAGTAATGAAAATTAGACAAATAAATAAATAAGTAAATTTCCTACCTTATAAAAAAAATCAACCAACCAACTAACGTAGAGATTAGTAATAATTTAAGTAAAAATATAACTAAAAATCAGATTGAATCTGCACTTTCTGGTAAGATTTAAAACAACAAACAAAGTACATTACCGAATTAAAATGAAAGAGCTGTAATTCAAATAAAAGCATCAAAATAAAAATGACTAGATAAAAAACAGAATTGATGTATTCTGATGAGTATCCCCAAAAAAAATAAAAAAAGAAATAGAAAGAAAAAAAAAGAACTACATTATCAAACACAAAGAAAAGTGCTGAAATTCACAATAAAGCTGGTCAAGATCAACGTAAAATGGGCTAAGAAACATAAATATAGTACCCAAAATTTAAAATGCTAACATAGACAAAAGTGCTCCTGAAAGACTTCAGAATTGAAACAAAAAAGTATCCAATCTGCAAGAGTCACATCAGATCTAAATCTCCCTTTGAACAGAGATCAAGAAACACAGAAAAAACTCACCTTTGACTACGGGCAATAATTAAGAAGGAGAGTAGGGATAAACATTTATGGAATATTCCGGCAGAAATGACCGCCGGCGACGGCGAGTCGCCTAAGAAGAAAAATGTTAACGGGGTGTATGAAAGCGCGGAAGAGGGGAAAAAAATGAGCCAATTCGCGGAAGATCATATTTATTGACCAACCAGAAAGAATTGCGGGAGTGTAGGGTGATTGGTGTAGAGGGAAAGGAAAAAACGGACCTTTGGATCAACACTGTCTAAATTCGAGGCGAAAAATTGCACTACTGATCCCTAACTTCTCGTTCGTACGTTGTCCCAAATGTCGAGTTGATTTCAGAACTACGGGCGTGTTTGATTATATTTCTGTTTTTATGAAAAATATCAATTTTCCATCCAAATTCTTATTTAAAGTGTTTGATTACTTTTTTTTTCATGGAAAATATTTTCCAACTTTTAAAAATATGCCTAATTTTCCCTTTTTTTTAAGGAAAATATTTTCCTTGGATGGATGTGATTTTTATTTTCCTTAATGAGGAAAATATTTTTTTCTAGGTAATTTGATTGATATGAAAAATATCACCTAGAAAAAAAATATTTTCCTCATTTTAAGGAAAAAAAAACCATACACATCCAAGGAAAATATTTTCCCTAAAAAAAAGGAAAATTAGGTATATTTTCAAAAGTTGGAAAATGTTTTCCATGGAAAAAAAATAGCAATCAAACACTTCAAGTAGGAATTTGGATGGAAAACTAATATTTTTCATTAAAAAATAAATGTAATCAAACACACCCTAAGAGTGCGTTTGATTGACAATATTTTTCATTAAAAAATACATTTTTTCACCTAAATATTTATTTTTTTGTTTTTTGATTAACATTTTTTTCGTGAAAAATATTTTCTTACTTTTAGTTATATGACCATATTTTCTTCAAAATCAAGCAAAATATTTTATTTAGGAAGAATATGATTTTTTTTTTTTTTTTTTAGGAAATTTACTCTTTCTAATCCATACTCCCAACAAAAATGAACAAGTATAATGTTTTCTAATTTGAAAACTAAATCAATCAGATATATTTAATTAATAATTTCCATATAAATATGTTTTAGGAAATTGAATTACCTAAAATTTAGTTTCTTTCCATAAAATTCATGTTTACAAAATTAGTCAATAATAGAGTTAATTGTTCCAATGGTCACTGAATTTAGGTTCATATCTTTAATTGATCACTGAAATTTAAAATGTCGAGTTTTGATCACTGAACTTAAGTTTATGTCTCCAATTGCTCACTTGTGACCATTGAACTTTAAAAAATATTGTACATTACTCACTAAACTTTGAAAAATATTCTATATTACTCACTGAACTTTAAAAAATATTGTATATTACTCATTATAAACTCGCTATTTTTCACGTTTGATAGCTATGTTGATAAGTAACGTACGGCATATTTTAAAGTCCAATGGCCAAAACTCGATATTTTAAACTTCAATGAGCAATTTAAGACATGAACTCAATTTCAGTGAGCAATCGAAGACATTGACCTAAGTTCAGTAACCAAAATTCGATATTTTAAATTTCAGTGACCAATTAAAGACATGGACATAAATGCAGTGACCATTGAAACAACTAACTCGTCAATAATACTCTATTATAGTTACACAATTTGAAATAAACTTATACAAACTCTTAAACACTTTCATCAAATTATATGATCCTCAATGTCTAATTTTACGAAAATAGACTTTGTTCTAGGTTGGTGAGGATTAAAATAAGTTTTTAACAGATTACAATAAAAGTTGATAAAATATGTGATCTAAAATTAATTGTTGACTTTAACTTTGATAAAATTATAAATTTTAATATCTACTAAAGAGGGACTTTACGTTTCAACTAAGGTTGTTATCCAAAAATTAAAAAGAAATTAAAAAAAAATCTGTTTTAACTAGGATTAAGAGATGCCTTAACGGAGATTTTCAAAATATTTTTACTGTAAAGATTGATTGTGTAATAATTTTTCATTTTCAAAGATTAGGGGACAATATGCTACTTAAATAATCTGTTGATGACCAATCCTGCAATTTTTCCTAGTAGGTTCTCTTTAGCAATTAGCATTCTAAACCCTTGTTTGGTAGGCATCAAAATAAGAGTTTTATTATATTTTGATAAAATTAGATGAAATGTGAGGTGGAAAATTTATAAGTCACTTTAAATATTTGATAAAATTAATTGTTAACTTTAACTTAAATTAAAATATGAATTTTAAATTCCATCAAACAGAGACTAATTGATTACCCATGGCCTATTGAAGTGTAAAATAGAGTTGGGCAAATCTCCCAAACCGAACTCGAACCGAACCGAACCCGACGATTCTTATCAAATTAAATACCCGAACGGATATTTGAATTGAGAACCAACGGGTACAGTTCGATTCTTGGTTCTAGACCAAGAACCAAAGAACCAAAAATGAACCAAATCTTTCTATTTTTTTTATATTAAATAAATCAAATTATTTTAATTTAAATTTTTTTCTAAACAAATTAACAATTTCTAAATTCAAATTTTTGACTCAATAATTTGTTTCATTTCTAATTTTTTAATTTTTGGTCCAATTACCTATTTTATTGTTTCATTTCTTAACCCAACATGATCCAACCTACTAAATAACCCTAAACACCTACACTAAAGTGCAAAACGCTGTCTCAACTTTCGCACTCACTCTAATAGCCTCGCTGACATTCCAAAATCTCTACAATCACCGACCGAAACTGTAACCTCCACCGATCGAAGCCATGACCGCAGGGATCATTTGAACAAGGTAGTCTGATAGTCTCTGACATTTCAAAACCATTGTAGTTATTTAGTGCTTGGATTCAAGGGGTTAAATCATGTTAATAAGATTAGTTAATAAGATTGATTTTGGTAGGTTTCTATGCAACATCTAAATTGGAGAAATAGCCAATTGATTATGTTAATAAGATTAGTTAATAAGATTGGTTTTAAAAGGTTTGTATGCAACATCTAAATTGGAGAAATAGCCAGCTAATCATGTTAATAAGATTCGTTAGCAGTTAGCTTGTTCTCTTTAAGGGTTTTCCAGAATGTTTTGCTGGTTTCTCTCTGTTCAATTGGTGCAACTATCATTCGTTAGTGTTTGATGATTTTGTTCTACATTATTTGTGCGGAATTTAATCAAGTTTCTTGTTAAGGTAATACAAATTCTGGATGCTCAAATGGGAGACAAAAAACAACCTAATACGAGGTTAGAATCATTTCACTAAAAATAGCCTATGAGGGCATTGAGACAGGTAATAAAATATATGTTATATATTTTTTTTTATTAAATCTTATTAATTGAACAAATTTGAATTTTTTTATATTTGTTAATAACTTAATTGTGTTTTTTTCAATTTTTTCTTGCAGAGTTTCTTAATAATGAGTATGTAAGTCAAGCAATTGATGGATAGTTGAAGTTTTAATATTAGTATCTATTCTTTGTTATCTGTAAATTGTAAGCATTGGTAAATTAATTTTGTCAAACTACTTGTTATTTTACATGTTATTAAATTTGACTATGTTAATTTGTAAAACTACGATTGAATGTGTCATTAGTTATATTTATATATTGTTGTTATAAATATTAAAAAAATTAATTATAGTACGGAACCAAATTGAACCGAACGGAATCGAACCTGAACGGTTCTATAATCATATTTGGACCCGACGGTTCCATTTACTAGATATCCGAAAATTTTGGTTCGATTCAATTCTCTTTAGAAACGAATCGAAGCGACCCGCGCCCACCTCTAGTATAAAGTGATTTGTTAATTTTAATCAAAGTTAACAATTAATCTTAAAAACATATTTCATGTGATCCACAACTTTACAATCACATATTTCATCATTTTTTTTAATCTAAATATACTAAATATCTAATTTTAATCCCACCAAGGGGCTTATACTTTTCGACTAAAATTATTAGTAATTTTTAATAGTAATTAATTATATATGATCTTACGAAATTTGTGGTCAACAAATATATTGTTGAAATTAATTTTTTGAGTTTAACTAAAATAAATATTAACACTTTTTAAAAATTTTAATATTTGATAAATATAGACTATCTTTTCTTTCTATCGCTTTTACCTAATCCGACTTGCTTATTCTACCTCGCCTTCTAAAAATTGGGTAAATAATTTTATGGCTATGGGTCAAGCAAGTTGTGCTGGGTAGCCCACAAGAGACGAAGAAACAGATAAATAAAAATTATGAAAATTACATAGAACCAGATTTCTTAAGTTGTCATTTCAAAAATTATATTTAAAGTTTGCTTATATAAAAATTAGATGATAATTTAATATTAATAATACTATTATTAAATTAATTTATATACTAACCTTACCTTCATCCACCCCATCAAATTTAATTCCCGAACCCTAAATCCTTCCTCATTTTTCCTTCTCTCTATCTTCTCTCCTCTCTCTCCATTGTTGCTACTCCTTTGCTCTCTCTCTTTCTCTCCACTAGTTCACCTCAATCGCTCTTCACTTTCTTTTAATTGGTACTATTAATGGCAATTGTGTACTACAGCAGCGTCGCGCTGTCGTTCGCAACAGCACCAGTGCTACTGCTGATGCTGTCTTGCATAACATCGAGACAAGTGATGAAAAATGTTGTCTCCGCATCGTTCCACAAAGTGTGCCTTCTCAGCCGACGCGGCTACAACAGCGCAACTTGGAGAAATTAGGTTTGGATGTTGTTATTGGTAGTGGTGTTTGTATTACTGTTGGTGGTGTGGTGTTTGTAATATGGCTGCAGGAGCGCAAGCGATATACCTGAGAGAATTTGATTCTAGGTGTGGTGGTAGATTTGTGGTTGCTATGTTGTACGGTGAGGTGGTGGTGCTAGCAAGGTTGTGGTGGTTCTGGCAATGATTGTGGAGTTGATGGTGGTGCAGTAATAGTGGTTGTGGTTGTGGTTGTGGTTGTGGTTGTGGTGATGATGATGTTGATGGTGTTGTTAAGGTGGTGGTGGCGATGGTCGTGACAGTGGTATAGTAGTTGTAAGTGGGATGGAGTGGGTGGGGTGTTTGTGACAAATAAATAATATGTGACTAATTATTTAAGATTGTGACCATTAAATTGGATATTTTGTGATCAATAAATAATATATAACTAGTAACTTGTAACTAACAAATATGACCTAAAAATTC